GTGTGTGTGTGTGTGTGTGTGTGTGTGTGTGTGTGTGTGTGTGTGTGTGTGTGTGTGTGTGTGTGTGTGTGACCGTTGGAATTGCTATAAAAAGAAAGTCTAAGAATAAACACAGGAGTGATTCATAGAACTGTAGGGCAGTGATATAACGATACAATCTAACTGGGAGGAATATTTACTATGTTTGTTTAACTGAAGCATAGTGAGAAGCTGTAGGTTTTGTAGAGCTTTTATAAAAATAGTTCTAAGTTGTTGTGGCTTGTTTTTCACTCGCTCCATCTCTCTTTTATTTTGGTAAACTTCCATTCACTGATCAATATTTCAATAAGAATTTGGGCTTTGGGCTTTAAATTCAAAGCAGTGCTTGACCAGTTTTTACAGACACATTTGAATGACAGCCTGGATAGCTAAGTTAGTGTGACAGTGAGCAAGGTGCGTCCCTAGACGACACCATATTCAGTACCACTGTAGGTACGTCTGTTTAACTCCTCTTAACCCAAATATATAATCAGCCAATCACATGGCAGCAACTAAATACATTTAGGCATGTAGATGTGGTCAAGATGACCTGCTGAAGCTCAATCTGAGCATCAGAACGAAGAAGAAAGTTCAATTAAGCGACTTTAAATGTGGCATGGTTGTATTTTATAAACAGCCATCTCTAGGGTTTCAGACCACAGAGAATGGCCTGAACATAACCATTGAGCAGCAAGTTTGTGGGAGAAATTGCTTTATTGATGACAGAGGTCAGAGGCGAATGGGCTGACTTTAAGCTGATAGGTGCTGTATGCAACAGTAACTCAAATAAGCAGCTCGTTACAACTAAGGTATACAGAAGAGCATCTCAAATGCCACAGAAGACCACACTCCTGTAGACTAAACAGGAAACTAAGGGACTTAGAGAAGATTTGAAAAATGTCGCCTGAGTCTCAATTTCTGCTTCAACATTCAGATGGTAGAGTCAGAATGTGCTGTAAACAGATTTATTCTGCTTGTATCAACAGTTCAAGCTGCTAGCGGTGTAACGGTGTGGGGGATATATTCTTGGCACACTTTGGGCCCTTTATTACTAAATAAGCATCATTTAAATACCACAGCCTAGTTAAGTATTTTTGCTGACCATGTCCATCCTTTATGACCACAGTGTTCCAGCAGACTAACACACTATGTCACAAAGCTGAGATCAACTCAAACTGGTTTCTTGAACATGAAGATGAGTTCACTGTAAATGACCAACAGAGTCACCAGATCTCAGTCAAATAAACCAGCTTTGGGATGTGGTGAGACTGTGTACACCCATGAGATTCTCATCATGGGTGTACAGCCAACAAATCTACAGCAACTGCATGATGTTGTCATGTCAAGATGAACCAAAGTCAAAAAGTCAAAAAGTCGTTATATAAAGTAGAGCGTCTGATTTGCCATCCATCTGCTTCAAATGTGTCAGAGGAGGACTCCAAGGCCACCGCAGCACAAGACACTACATTTGTTCTGTCTGGACTGGCTCCTTTTATTCCCTCTTTTCAATCAGTGGTCATTATTACAGAGTAGAGATGGACCGATCCGATATTACGTATCGGTATCGGTCCGATACAGACCTAAATTACTGGATCGGATATCGGAGAAAAATAAAAAAAAATGTAATCCGATCCATTAAATATCACGAAAGCACCTCACAAAACTTGCAACACGCCGTAACTCACCTCAGAATGTTAGCACGTCGGAGCAGTATGCATCACGTGATAGAGCGGCTGTGGCATGCGGGACCTGTGGTGGTCTGGATAGCATTTGGAGCTTCGCTAGCAACCTGGCATTTCATCTCCGACAAAGTTATCCCGAGAGAAGTAAAGCAAGTGTGTAAGTCCATCTCTAAATGTTTGTAAAGCATTCCTGCGTTAAGCTTAACAAGCGACTGCCTCTCCTGCTGCTACTTCAATCATGAAACTGCTTAACGATCAGTTGATTGGCTTTTCTGTCGCGAGTCTGTGTCTCTAGTTTGCTTTTGGCCCACTTTGCACCAGAAAGAGGAAACCAGCGGCTGAACAACAGCAGCACGTTTAAGCTTGATCAGCTGCTGTTAGAATTTATTTAATATTACTTTCTACTCCAGGATCTTTTTCTACGTAGCTGACGGCTGGTAACTGTGCAGGGGCGGATCTAGCAAAGTTTAGCCAGGGGGGCCGATAGGGCATTAACAGGGAAAAGGGGCACAAAGACATACTTTTCTTTCTTATTCTTTCTCATTTAAAATGTCAAGCTTTTAATAAATAATTATCTGACACCCAAAGTTTTAATTTGATGTAAAATGAATAGAAGTCAATTACTGTATATAGTAACTATTAAGTCTAATATATATACCCTTGTAAGCTATAGTACTTTTTCCTTTGGGAAGATACCATCTGTGCAGTCTGCAATTCTGTTGAAGAAAGATGTTGAATCTATTTAATATTTCTTGAAAAATAATTGATTTCTGTGCATTTTTTTTCACACTGCATCAAATTAAGGTTGATTACGTCGATTAAGCATCATGAGGTGGAGCGTGAGGGGTGGTTCCCTATTTTTTATTTATTTATTTTTGTTGTTGCTGGGAGTTGGAACCCTATTAGTTAGATTGCTTAATATTTATGCTAAGTACTCTTTAAAATACCAGAATAGGGAGGATGGTGTAGGTTTAAGTTTATTAGATTGATCAGTATTGCTGAACTATGAAATTTTTTTTTTGCATACAGGTATAACAGAATAGCTTTAGTGTAGTTGTTGTTTTAAACTTGAGTATGAACTTATACAAAATGCAGCAAGATATTTAAAAAACAGTTTTGTTGATTAAAAAACACTATATCGGATTCATATCGGTATCGGCAGATATCCAAATTTATGATATCGGTATCGGTATCGGACATAAAAAAAAGTGGTATCGTGCCATCTCTATTACAGAGTACTCAGGAGTCCATAAAACCAAGAAGAAGGAGAAAATAAATGGCTTCTCCTGAAAAACTCCTGCAAATACTGTGCTGTTGCTGTGGAAACAGTCACCGAGAGACTTGATAAGCTACATGATTGTAATCAAACAAAAAGGTCAGGTAAAGTAATAATACAACATAAGAAAAGATGCTCACATTTCCTTTACAAACAAAAATAGTACATTCAGAATTTACTTTTATAGTAAAACATATAATCTTACTATCACATAAAGAATCACATTCATAAATGAGCATTATTCAGGAAGGGAATAACTTCCTAATGCCTTCATGATTATAATGCTATTATTCAATGAAAAAGCTACATTTAACCACAAACTAGAATTTGCTCAACAATTATCATTGCAAACTTAAGTCTCCATATGTCCAGTTGATTATGAGCTCAGCCATTAGCTTCTGCGATTCCAAATAGCTCAAATAACCAATATGAAAGCAATAACTGGTGTATCTCAGTATTTCTCTGTTTTGTCTGTCGTACCTCCATGTCAGTTTGATCTCTCTTTACTGTCGCCAATCTAGAGAGAGAATGTGGAGAGGTGACTTGAACTGGTATCGAGCTGAGTGAAGCTGGAAGGTCACCTGTCAATTGACCATAACTTACCAACCATAACTAGCCTAATAGTTAGGTGTGTTAACATGGTCTATGTGTTAACAAGGAGCTGCTGCTGTGCTGACAGACCCCTAAAGTCTTTCAGTTTGCCTACAGTCACAGAAACTTCAAGATCTTTCTATTAAATTCAACAATGAAATCTGCTTAAACTGAATATGGCCAAGATGTTGGAATCTCCGCTTTTAATAACGTGATAAACACACACACACACACACACACAAACACATATATATATATATATATAAATTCATGTATATTTTTATACTTAAATTATATATTGTAAGCTTGAATAATCTTTGTTTTAGCAAACCTACTGAGAGGAATTGTTCCATGTTAAAAAATAGATAAATAAAATTATATTCTCAATTGCTATTTAGCATACCCTAAAACACCTTTTTGGCTTGCCACATTATAAACCAAAGCAATGTTTTATTTTCTTATGAATACATTTTTGAGCCATCAAGGGGAAAATAATAACAATAAAAATAAATAAATAAATAAAAAAGGATACAAAGCAGGAAAAGCCCTTTCTTATTTCTTATTCTGTCAACCATCGCTTAACCTGTCAGATTCTGTTTTTTAACTTCGCATCTCTATTAAGAACACCGGCAGTGATGATCTTTGTTTATTGATTTATTTACACACTGATTTACTGATTTAATTTTTTTTTTTGTTTAATTTTTTCCGCTCCATAATGTGGCAGCTCCTATGAGTCCTTATATGTTTTGTATCTTTTTTATATTCAGTCCCTTAATTTTCCCATCAGGCTACATCTGACTCTTGACCTTTCTCCTGTATAATCATGAGTAAAACGCTCTGTTAGCTGTTTACTCACCAGCTTTCCAAGCTCTATGGCTGGGACTAAATACACAAGGCAATATTGGGATGGATTAGATGGTTTTTATAATTTGTTTCGTTTGCAAATAAAGTATAAGCTAATACTAATACTGTTTGTAAATGTAATTCATAGAGCAGGTTTGTATTCAATGAGTTTATGCTGGTTTATTACTAGAAACTACATTTCAATGTTAGTTATACTGTCATTGAATTTTACTAATAATTATAATCACAACTTTGAGCAATTTTCATCACTTTTCTCTTGGGTGGCTGCATGTAGTACTATTTTTCACCTTCATCTAACAAGGGAAAAAAGACACAAATGCCTTCAGGGTTGTGTCAGGAAGGACATCTGGCACAAGAACTGTCCAGATC